GTGCAGCAGGGAGGGTAGTTTAAAAAATATGTTACGGGATTTGTGTTTTTTTCTTTACTCTGACAAATAGAGTCAAAAAAGGTTAAATAATGGTTTTGAAAAATGTAATGGCAATTATTAGTAAAATTTAAAGGAAGTTGTGTATGCTTTGCAACATCGGAGAAGATAGGCGCACCTAAGACAGTTGATATAGCAAAGGGAGGAAAACAAAGCAAGTGCCCGAGTGTCAAGGAAGTTAAAGTATCACAAAGCCCACGTACAAGGTGATGGAAGGAATTGCAAATTCGATATAACAATACATGAATTTGGTTAAACTCGTCTTTTAAAGAATTCTAAGATTGGGTCAAAAATCAACCAAAAAGATCTTGCTAAAATAGTAACATTAGAAAAAAATAAAAGAAGGCAGAGATAACATCAGACTAATTCAAACAAAAAGAAATTGGCATTATAATATTATTATCAGACAAAATAGGAATCAGAGTAAGAAAGCACTGAATGGACTAAAAAAGAGTCATTTTATGAATTACAGTGAATGAAGATCACAGAATAAGATTATTTCAAATTATAGTGAAAAATATTAGAAATATTAGAAGGTGGAAGAAGTATACATTACAATAGTTTAACAAACCACTGTCTTTCACAGATCAAAATGCCAGAAAATAAATATGGTCTAAAGGATCTGAATGAAATAATGAATAAGGTCAATTTAATAGCAGTATTTGAGATTTTATATGTACAGAGATAATACCTTCTTGTTTGGTGTCTGGAATATTTACAAAAATCGATTAAATATCACTATGAAGAAAATCCAAATAAATTGCCCAAAGTGCCTACATTTTCCAGGCCAATGAAACAAAGCTAGAAATGAATGAAAAGTAGTTGTCAAAATTGGAATTCTTTTTAAAAAGACATCCTACTAAATATCTTTGTTTATAAAGGACACAAAAACTATAAATATAGATTATTTACACCTTAATGACCATGATCATCTACAATCAAATTTAAAGAATGTGTCTAAAACTGAATTCAGAGGGAAAATGAAGGACTAAAGGCTTTTATTATTAGACAAAAAGATTGAAAATAATGGATTACTCTGGTCCAGAAGTTTGAAAAACAAAAGCAATAAGCCTGATAGAAATTAAGAAAATAAACTAATAAAGATGAAAGGAGAAAGTAAAGAATTGGAAAATGGGAACATGGAGGAGTTTGAAAATATTCTGAGTGTTCTTTGAAAATGCCAATAAAATAGACCTGTGGCTGTTCTCGGTGCCCTTTGCCAGCTCTTCCCTTTTACTTAGCCTTTAAATGTTGGCATTTCTGCGGTAGGAATTTTGGTCTCTAAGGGTCCTCCTCTTTTTCTGCAGTAAAAGAGGGCCACCTGTGCTTCTGGTTTTGATTGCTGATCTGTAAGCTGTGTTGACTCCCAGATGCGTATCTCCATCCAGCTTTGTCCTCACAGTTCCAGACCTCTCCATCTGTCGTCTTGGCATTTTTATGTGGCTGTCTTGAAGGCATCTCAATCCAACATGTATAAAATACTGCTTGTCATCCTCCACCCTCAAAATGCTCCTCTTCTGTGACTATTCCCTTTCACAGGGCCTGGAGTCACGGTTTTTTTTACTCGAGCAAACCAGAAATGTATCAGTTACCTCCTTCCTACCCCATATGCAGTTAATCACCAGTCCCATAAGTCACTTTCTTCCCTAGGGTTTCTGTGCCTACTGCTGTATCTGGAATGCTCTTCCTGCTCCCACTTCACCTTAATTCAGGGATACCTAATCTGTTTTTGTGCCATGGACCCCATTCACAGTCTCCTGAAACTACGAATGTTTTTAAAATACATAAGATTACAAAGGAAGTCACTTATGTTGAGATATAATTTTAAAATATTAAAAGGTAAAATTCTGATTTAATTATGTGTACAGTAGTTTCCTCTTATTCACAGTTTCC